TACGTTAACCCTTTCAGTGATGGAATGCTAGTCAGTCTCACATTAACTCTTTCAGCGATGGAATGTTTCAGTGATGGAATGCTAGTCAGTCTCACATTAACCCTTTCAGCGATGGAATGTTAGTCAAAGACATATTAATCTTTGCAATCCATATGCTCTGTATGTGCATAGCCAGCCTCCTGCCCCTTGGGTCACTGCAGGAAATAGGGTAATGGCCTGATTTTGCTACACCATCAGGTCACAGCAAGTGAAACCAAAGGGGTTTCTCCAGCGGGCCACCTTTGCGGAGGGCCGTGTACTAGAGACTTCCCAAGGGAGAGAGGCTGAACTCCCAAGGGACCAAAGGAAATAGGAATAGGACAAGAACAAAAAGACTGAGGGTGGGAGATGTAGGAGGGGTTACTTATACCTTCTGTTTTAATTAGGTTCCTGTCTAATTAGGGATAGGGAGGAGCTACCCATTGAGAAGCTACCCATGGCCAGGAAATATAGATATAATATATGGTATATAGATATATATAATTTTTATTTTAGTATTATTTTTTTATTTATTAACTTAATTTCTTTATTTGTAAGTTTTGGGTTTTTTTTACTTTTTTTACCAGCGGGGGACTGTCAGCTCAGGCAGTCCCGCTGCAGGCAACACTATGGATGCCTATTGAGGCCATGTGATCGCTCTTATAGAGAGATCACATGGCCCTTGAGGTCCTATTTTGCTGAGGGGGGACTGTCTGTGCTATCAAATAGTCCCCCCAGTGGAGAAGAAGACCGATCGCTGGCAGGGGATCAGCGGCGATTGAGTAAGTGAATAGGAATGGAGGGAGGGAGAGGGAGGGTAAATGTTTTTTTTTTTTTACATTTATTTATTTATTATTTAATAATTGTATTCTTCACTGAGTGCCTCAACCCCTCGAGGAACTCAGCACAGGCAGAGCATCGGAAGCCTGCCTGATGTCTTCTGATGGTCTGCCTCACTGTCGGGCGAAACATTGAGCAAACCGGAAGTGATCGGTCAGCGGCCCAGCAGTGAGGGGAGGTATTGCAGGATGCCTCGACATCAAGGCATCACTGCAATACCATCAGAGCAGACGTATCAAGGTTAACCAAGGCTAGGCCTTGGTTAACCCATGCAACACTGTTCTAGCCTTGGTTAACCCCTGCAAACCCTGTTCCAGCCTTGGTTAACCCCTCCAAACCCTGTTCCAGCATTGGTTTAACTCCTGCAATTCTGCTACAACTTTAATCAATCCTTTCCTCATTTCCCCAGTGCTGAAACTCTGGTAAAAAGACTTTAGTTTACCTTAAGGACATTTATTTCTTATAAAGAAATTGCCTTATTTTCTGTTTTTATTTTGCATTGGGACTTTTTCATTATATTTATTTGGTTTATAATAAAAACCTTAAATTCAGTAAATGTGTCTGTATAAAATCTCTGCATACCGAGCCTATTCACTCCAAACAACTGAGCCTGTTATGGAGCTCACAGAGATCGCAGAAGCTTTAAATACCCTGACCGTCAAATTAATTCTCTGGGTCAGGCAGTTCATGATCTGCAGACAGTACTAATTCAGCTACAGTCACAGCTGATGGCATCACCTACCTATCCAGCTCATCTGACTCCACTGCCAGATGATGAACCTCATGCCCCTGAACCTCAGGTTCCCCTGCTTGAGCAATTTTCAGGAGATCAAAATAAGTATAATACCTTCATAATGTTTTGCAAATTATTATTTACCTTAAAGCCAAGTACTTATCACAGTGACTTTATAAAAATACGAACTGTAATTTCTCTCATGTCAGGAGATCCCAGAACTTGGGCCCCTAATCTCCTACGTAATCAAAGCCTTCTCCTTAACAATTGGGACTCCTTCAAATTATCTATGAATTCCCTTTACAAGGATCCAAACAAGACCTCCACTGCTAGGTCTACTCTACGGGCCTTAAAACAAGGAAAAAGACCTGTAGAGGAGTACATTACAGATTTTCACCATGTGGCTGCTGATACTGCCTGGAATGAAGAAGCCCCAACAGATCAATCTCGTCTAGGCCTGTTTGAGACATTAAAGGATGAACTTGCCCGTGTCGGGGTACCAGACACTTTGGAGGAACTCACACAGCTGTCTATACAAATTGATAGACGCTTTAGGGAACAGAGGTTGGAACGTGCTGTAACCAATGGTTATTACCGCACTCCACCTACTGTTGACCCACTATCATCTATCGATTTTATTTATAGAGATGAACCAGTGCAATTAGGACTTGTAAAAGGTCACCTCCCTGCTGCAGAGGTCCATACACGAAAATCCAAATTTGTTTTCATATAGTGAGGAACTGTCCTGAAAAAACAGCAACCAGACAAGGAAACCACATCCTGGCTTCTCTAAGCTCTTCTGTACCCAAACCTGACTCAGATACGCCTCATCTGATTCTGCCTCTTCTCCTACAATGGGGAGCTCAGAGGATTGAATTATACACTATGATGGATTCTGGCGCTAGCGGTTGTGTCCTTGATATTGCTCTGGCCAATACCTTGTCTAGACCCAAGAGTAACAAGGTTAAACCACTGCATATTCAAAAGACTGATGGCAGCCTTTCAAAGTCTGGTCCTGTGGTAAAAGACTATCCCACTAAAATGCTATGTTTTGATTTGGCTTCCTCTCCTTTGTCTCCTGTGATCCATAGATTACCCTGGCTTCGCTTAAACATAACCCTGCAATCAAATGGTAATTTGCTACTTTATCCTTTTCATTTGACCATTGCAGGAGGAATTGTCTAAACAGTAGAGACTCCTTAATTACCTCTAATATCATTCCTGAAATTAATGTGCAACAGGATCAGGAAGTCATCCTACCAAAAATTTCTGAAACATGCAGAGATTTGTATAGTAAAGAAACGATAGTGGGACTTCCTCCAAAATGTATCCATGATTGTCCAATTGACTTATTCCCTAATGCATCTGTTCCCCACAGCCCAGAAAAACACCCGTGTGTACCTACTGCCAAAGTAATCACCCCTGCTTTGGTGAGGACTTCAAATTAATTTCCAAGTCCAACTTTGGGCGCATCTAGAGTCTGCGCCTTAAAGTGGGGATTATGTCACAGCACACCGGGAGAGGCTGGTGCGTTGCACACACTCACCAGATGCCACATGCATTTCGGCATCCTGGGAGTGGGGGACGCCCCAAACCCTCCTCCCGCCCGCCAGCTTATACCCCAGCACTTCAGCAGCATGCCATGAGTGCAAGGTGCACCGCTCTCTCCTCACCCACCGGCCCCTGCAGCCACTCCAGGTCTGCCTTTATGCCTACCTCTCCTCCTGTGGGTATGTTGGGTAATATGTGTTGTTTGTTACCCATCCGGCTCCAGGATATCCTTACAGTGATAAAAGCCCTGGAGAGTCCAGCTCAGAAAGCATGAAAGCAACATGGGTTTCCACGTTCTGAAGAAAATAGACTGTGTTCGGTATTATATGTTTGGGCTTTTCTGCAGTATTTTGTGCATGTTGGATCTATTAGTTCGGTAGTTTAAAACTACAGAACCCCGACCACCCTCCTGGCTCATTAACTTCAAAAGAACCATCTATTAAGCGCTCTCTGGGCGGCCACTGTTCGTATAGCCGAATGCCATGTGGAACAGAAAATGCACGAAAGGAGGCAGCGGGACTTGGTCGTCGAGTGTCTGGAACTAAAATCGGACACCGCTGAAACTACCGAATGCCTGCTTCCTTTAGTTGCCGAACAGCCAGGAGAGCGCCATTCGGTAGTTTTGTTCATACAGACAAGGGGAGCAATCGCTCCTATAAGCCAGGAGGATTTTTATTTTTTATGAAGATATTGCCCATTTCTATTTTGCATTGGGACTTTTTCATTATACTTATTTGCTTTATAATAAAAACCTTAAATTCAGTAACTGTGTCCGTATAAAATCTCTGCATACCGAGTCCATTCACCCCAAACCCATGACATCTTCGTGCAAAATTTTGTAACACATGCTCACTAGCCTCCAAATGCTCTCCTATGAGAAAGTACTGAATTGACAGAGATCATCGATCTCAATGATCTCACCTAAAAAGGCTGAGTGGCATGCCGGAGACCAGCGCTGCAAGGGAGAAAAAGTAAACTCACCTTTTTAACCCTTGAAACAGGGGTCTGACCACCTACACAGTGACTTGGGCACTTTATTATTATTATTTATATAGCTCCAGCAAATTCCGTAGTGCTAGGAATGCACATTTCTAGTTCTAATGCTTTCTGTAGTGGAAAGCTGATATTCCACAGGTTATCTCCACTTAAGATCCCAGTGAGGCTCAGGAATAAGTATTATAAATCCATAAGGCAAGGCTTTCAGCAGGCAAAACAATCCCACAATATCCCAACATCAATCCCAATGACTGGACGACACACAGCATCAGGAGCAGAACTGATCTTTTAATTCACACAACCTCCTTATAAAGCATTCTCCCATGCAAGGGAGGGATTCATCATAATTAAGACAGTAGCCAACAATGTCACAGTTACCTCCCACACATCTCCTCCCCTCAGTGTGACACATAATCCCATAAATCATGCTGTACTTTTCCCCGAATTCTGGATGTACCCCAAAACAGCTAGGTACAATGGGCTAATTTGCACCCCCTAGTAGCCCTGATCTGGGTGACAAACATATCCCAAATTCACCCAGATCAGACCAGGGGTTCGGGAGTTAGGTGGAAGAGTTAGGTGGAAGAGACAATTTGACCGACCGCACACGAGGTGGTAGCCGAAAAGGGTTCCATGGGTTTTGGCCCTGCGGTCGGTCTCCGTAAAATACGCAGAATTACATGCCATCTACTATTAATCTTGTATTTGCATCAATCCCCTTGTTCAGTATTTTTAACTCACCGAACGGGGGGCTGATTAGCCTCTCCGTTCGGGAGTTATGGAGCTCTGGAGTTCTCAGCGGTGTTCGGGTAATTGAGTGTCCGATTTGAGTTCCAGACACTCGACGCCCAAACACCGCTGAGGGTTCGTGCATAAGATGGCCGCCGCCATGTGTTCGTATGCCGAACAGCGGCCACCCAAATACATGCATAAAGTATCAATTAACATGCGGTTAGAGCAGTGTGAAGCCTAATAAGGTGCACACTTCTCTCTGGGGTGGTCTACTGGTTCTGTAGTTTAATTTGTATGGGATACGGATGAAACTACCGAACAATCATACGAATTCTACATACACTTTTAACTATATAGGAAAATAAAAACACAAATTACAGTTTTAACATAGTCTTTTAGGACAGCCATAGTTCCATCCGCTACACTGCTCCCCCTTGCCCACAAGCTGGCCTACACAGTCTGATCCAACACGGATTGGCTTGGGGATGTCCGGGGTGCTCATGGATCATTTCTCCAGGTCTGTTTGTCTAGACAATCCATCAGCGTTTCCATTTTGTTTGCCCGGGTGGTACTGAATGTTAAAGTCAAAGGGCTGCATCGCCAAACTCCAGCGCAGCAGCCTGGCATTGCACCCAGCCACCCGGTTCAGCCATACTAACGGGTATGGCTGAACCGGGTGGGAAAGGGCTGTCCATACAAATACAGCTGCAACTTCTTTAGGGCCCACACCACAGCCAGGCATTCTTTCTCGATGGTGGCGTAGCTTACTTCTCTGGGTAACAACTTGCGACTGATGTAAGCCACGGGATGTTCTCCTCCATCGGCCCCGACTTGGCCCAGCACTGCCCCCAATCCAAACATAGAAGCGTCTGTGTGAACAAGAAAACGTTTAGTTGGATTGGGAGCTGCCAAGACAGGGGCATTGATAAGTGCATTTTTCAGATGTTGGAATGCCTGCTCACACTCTGGGGTCCAGGTTACTTGGCGGGGAAGGTTCTTACGGGTCAGGTCAGTAAGGGGTTTGGCCAGGGCGCTATAATTGGGGACAAACTTCCTATAGTATCTCGCTGTCCTGAGAAATGCTAGCACCTGAGTCTTAGTCCTAGGAGTGGGCCAATGGGCTACGGCCTCTACTTTGGCTGGTTCTGGTTTCTGTTTCCCACAGCCCACTCGATGGCCCAAGTATTGTACCTCGGCCATTCCTATACTGCATTTGGCCGGTTTCAACGTCAGACTAGCCTCCCTAATCCTGTCTAGAACCGCTCCTATATGGGCCAAGTGCTCCTGCCAGGTATTGCTAAAAATGGCAATATCGTCTAGGTATGCACAGGTGTAGTCCTGGAACCCGTCGAGGAGTCGGTCCACCATCTGCTTGAATGTAGCCAGAGCGTTTTTCATCCCAAACGGCATGACCTTAAAGTGGTACAAGCCGAATGGGGTGACAAAGGCTGACTTAGGAATGGCATCCGGAGCCAAGGGAATCTGCCAATACCCCTTACACAGATCAATATTAGTGAGGTATTTACCTCTGGCCATCCGATATAGCAGTTCATCTATCCTGGGCATAGGATAAGCGTCGGACACTGTCTTCTCATTCAACCTCTGGTAGTCCACACAGAAGCGGGTTGTACCATCCTGCTTTGGTACAAGGACTACGGGAGAAGCCCAGGGGCGGTCTGAGGGTTCAATCACCCCCAGTTGAAGCATCTCATCAATCTCCTTGCGCATATTCTCCCGCACCGCTTCAGGGATGCGGTATGGAGTCTGGCGTATGGGGAGTTGGCCTGGGGTTTTCACCCGGTGAGTGGCTAGAGGAGTGTACCCAGGCACATTAGAGAAGGTCTCCTGCTTCTCTCTTAGCAGCTGTTGTACCTCGGTACGTTCCTGTGGGCTCAGCCGGTCTCCCAGCACAACTTCCCTTAAATCTCCAGACAGCTGACCATCCCCCAGTAGATCTGGGAGGGGAAGGCTGTCAAACTCCTCAGAGGTGGGTGCACAAATAGCTGTCACCTCTTTTGAACGTTCCTGGTAGGGCTTCATCATGTTTACATGAAGCATGCGTCGCCCTCCAGTCCCTGCGCAAGGGCCAATTATATAAGTGGTGTCACATCTCTGTTCCACCACTTTATAAGGGCCTTGCCAGGCTGCCTGTAACTTATCATGTCAGACAGGTTTTAAAATTAAAACTTTCTGCCCTACGGTCCCTGGCGCCTCGATCATACCATGTGCGCTGCCGTGTCTGAGGCACCTGAAGGTTCTCCTTTATTGTCCTAGTTAGCGCTTCTAAGCGGTCTCGGAGCGCCAACACATATGGTACAATGGGGGTACCGTCTACGCTCCGTTCTCCCTCCCAATGATCCCTAATTAGGTCCAGCGGCCCTCTTACTCTCCTCCCGAATACTAGTTAGAATGGGGAAAATCCGGTGAATTCCTGCGGCACCTCCCTATAAGCGAATAGGAGGTGAGGAAGGAATCGCTCCCAGTCCCGGTGGGTCTCAGCAAAGGTTTGGAGCATTTGTTTTAATGTACCATTGAACCGCTAACACAGTATTTTAGGACAGCTATAGTACCATCCGCTACATATTCCTTAAAGCGTTCAAGTCCTCTCGTTACTGAAAATTTTAAAAATTGACTATGTCAACAGAGTGACAGAAAATGACGATACATTGTACTTGCCATGTGTGGGTACTAATGTGAATGTTCTGTTGAAGTGTAACTGCAAAATTATATTTGTATGTATTACACGTAAAGACTCTGGAAAAAAAACCTAAATGAAACATAAGTGACCACGGACGTATCAGGTACGTCTGACAAAAAATCAAAATCGCTTCCAGCTGCTCTAACGGTATTGCAGTGATGCCTCAATGCCTCACCTGACTGCCGGGCCGCTGCCGGGTGATCACTCCCCTATAAAAAATACACTTAGAGTAAAATCACACACACACACACACACACACACACACACATATATATATATATATATATATATATATATATATATATATATATAAAATTATAAGAAAGAAATAATAATTAAAAAGACAATCTTAAATATTATATATATATATATATATATATTTAATTTTAATTGAACTGTATTTTGATATACATATATATGTGTATTATTTTTACATAATTAAGTAATTTTATTGATTGCAATTTGGGGGACCTGCCTGACAACCCAGGTCGAAAGTCCATAGAATTGAATTTGCTAGCACTATAGTTAACCCTGTAACTTTCCAAGACACCCTAAAACCTTGACATGGGGGGTTACTGTTTTACTCGGTAGACTTCGCTGAACACAAATATTAGTGTTTCAAAACAGTAAAACATATCACAGCCAGGGCTGGATTAACATAGGGGCTGATGGAGCTGCAGCTCCAGGCCCAGGCCCAGGGAATAGGCCCATTTAAAAAAAAACACACTACTCTTAGGTTTGCCACCTGACTGGTATTTTACTGACATAGCTGGTATTTGAGGCTGCCTGGCCAGTGCCAGTATTTCAGTTATACAGGCAATACAAATGCAGGTATTTTTCTCAGTATAAACAGAAATTACTCTGCAATACCAGCACCAGCCAGGAGAGGTCACTGTGTGTGGAGAGAGGCATGGATAGGAAGTTACAGCATATCCCTCCCTGCTTTTTTCTACTACTCACTGATCCGTGGGGGAGCAGCTACACAGCACAGAGTGTCCAGACAGGAGCTCTACAGCTCAGGTAAGTGAGGGATGGGGGCACTGAGACACTAAGGGACACTGAGAAACTAGGGAACACATGGGGACACAGACACTAGGGGATACTGGGAGACCTGGGGACACAGACACTTGGGGACACTGAGAGAAATGGGGACACAGACACATGGGGACACTGGGAGACATAAGGACACTGGGAGACACTAGGGACACAGTGTCCCCATGTATCCCAGTGTCCCCTAGTCTCCCAGTGTCTGTGTCCCCATGTCTCCCAGTGTCCCTAGTGACTCAGTGTCTCCATGTCTCCCAGTGTCCCCAAGTGTCTCAGTGTCCCCGGGTCTCTCAGTGACATGGGGACACAGTGAGACATGGGGACAATGGGAGAAATGGGAACACTGAGACACTGGGAGACTAGGGGACTGGGCAACATGGGGACACTGACACTGTGATACATAGGGACACAGAGACTGGGTGACTTGCGAGACTGAGACACTGGGAGACAGGGAGACACTGGGAGCGATCCATCTATACAGCAGAATCAAACTGTGAGTAGTTTGTTGGTGATTTTACAGAATTTTCTCTTATGTCACTCCTTGTGAGTTAGATCATGTGATGTCATGCATAACTAATTAATTATTCAAATGTATAAGGCTGGCATTTTTTTCCAAGAAAGGTGGCAACCCTAACTACTCTACACATACTCTTGCTTAAAGGAACATTAGAGGGTCAGGAACACAATCATGTATTTCTGACCTTATTATGTTAAAACCACAATTTAGCTCGCCCGGCCACCTCTTGCCTCCCTTAATATAGTAAACTCTTACTTGTATTCAAGTATGCAGTTGCTGGCTCTGTCCCTGTCTGCCTCTGAACTGACTCTGTCTGCTGACATCATCAGAAGTGATGGTCTGCACAAATTACAATGCTTCCCCATAGGACTGGCTGAGACTGTCAACTAGGCAGATCAGTTGCAGAGCCAGCACAAGTCAAACATAGCCCTGGCCAATCATCATCTCCTCATGAAAATAAACTGATTCAATGCATCTCTATGAGGAAAGTTCAGTGTCTGCATGCAGAGGGTGGAGACACTGAATGGCAGTGCTGCACACTAGGCAGTACTGCCCCAAGAGGCACCTCTAGCAGCCATCTAAGGAGTGCCCATCAGAGTTATATTTTCTGAAAAGACAGTGTTTACTGCAAAAAAGCCTGGAGGGAATGATTCTATTTACCAGAACAAATACAATAAGCTGTAGTTGTTCTGGTGACTATAGTGTCCCTTTAAGTTTGTTAGCTTAAGAGGGATGCATGAGAACAAAACCTGTGTGGAGTGGCTGACAATAAAATAAGTTTAGATAATGCAGACTTTGGTCTCTCTAACACTGTAGCATGTCCCCTTTCTTCTACACTCACTACATACACCTTTTCTCTGTCTCAGACTATATACCAGGAACTTTTGCCTGCTAGTAAGATGATAAGGAGACAAGTGGACATGTGAGTGCTAGGGGACAGTCCTTACAAAGCATGGAGTAGGCGCATCATTTGATGCATTTATGTCAAG